TCATGTTTCAAAAGTAAAATTCTCCTTGAAATCATTTTACAAAATCATATTTTTTTTCTGTATTCTGTATTTTGCTCAATCTGGCTGTGTACATAGACTTTTTATTACTAATTTATATAAATTTATACAGTAAACAGTAACCCAGCTGAATAGTAAACCGATTAGGCCGATGTTATGTACGTATTATGTATACAAAATTGATTTGGTTCAGCATCGAAAAGAATCCAATGTGAGTCTGAGGTACGCTCGTCAAACTGCTGACATGGCCATAGTTTCTTTAAATTATCTCTCTTAGTATTTAAGATAAAATTATGATTTGACAATGGTTAGAATCCTTAAGTTTTTATCTAGTAATTAACAATATATTTTTACGAATTTTTGGTCAGTTTTTTGGATGTATTAGAGATAAATGAGTAATTATATAATTTTGTGCCTAACAGGATACAGAGAAAATCTTGATTTTTTTAATATTTCTCTAAAGATAATTTTTACTTTAGAAACATATATTAAACTTTCTTTTTGAGAATAACTAGCTTTTCCCAGGACGATTTTTGGACAACCTATTCCATTTAAATCTAGAAATAAAAACTACTATTTCGACTCACACAATTGTATCTATAAAATGCCAACAAAAATCTAATCTAAGCGATTTTAACTCTCCGCCGCTGAACAATATTTACGAGACAACTAGGACAGTAGGTACCTCTGTGTGTATATACTTGGTAACAACGTATATTGTTCGGTATATCTATATTAAGTGTTGCCCTCTTTTGCTTCAAGTACCAACTCTAATTAGCAATATTTGTAATTACAGAAAACTATAATGTTTAGCGCTAGTTTTCGACCATTTTTATACTATCGTAACTCCATCTTGCGTTAGCAAAACGTAATATAAATCTTAAATTCCCTTCAAGAATATATGACATGCCAATTTATCACTATATACTTAATACAAATATATATTTCTATTAGAATACAATGTAATATTTCTGCTTTTTGTATTCTAATAGAAATATATATTTGTATTAAGTATATCTTTCAAAAGTAGCCTCCGTAGCTTTCTCGTAGATTAGGCCGCGAGTCGTCTCTGGTCAACAATTACACCAATTTTAGGATTCTTCGGTTGATACAAATATCTCCACAATGAGTACTAATAAGTCTTGTGTGACTTGAGGACCTTGTTAAAGGGAGTAAGGACCGGCTCAAAGGTGAAAGAAAAGGGAACACTAGGTCTTAAAGCAAGTAAGGAATAGAAGGGCGATAAGCACCAAAGTTTGACATCTCTTTTGATTCACGCCCGAACTGACATAATAAAAAAAGATGTAAGGTATGCACAGACATATAAGAAATATATAGGGCCCTCTAAGCTCAGATTATCAGCCCCCAAATACGACTTTAAGAACATTTGTTTTTTATGTACACGGAAAAAAACAAAAATCGTTTGGACAAAAAGAGAGTTGTAGATTCAGTTGAGGCTCTAACTGTTCAAAATATTATCAGTGAGGTGTGTTCCTCGAAAGGATTCTTAGGGTGCCGAAGTTCTTGGTCGTCTGTCTCCATTAACGATCTAGTTGCTGAGGAGGCAGTATACCACAAAGACTGCTACCACACTTTTGTGAAGTCTATCAGTTTTCCATCTTCGAAAGCGGAGATACCCAGAGACAGGCATGTCATACAGGCCACGGAGGAGAGTTTTGCCTACAAGATCTAATACTGATCACTCCAGAGGTATGTTTTAGAGATACAGGGTACAAAATTATCAACGAAGGGCGGAAAACAGGGCAAACAAATGAAGGAGAGCAGAGGTTGAGGATTTTTGTTAAAGCTACGGAAATTTTACGGCGAGACATTCAGAGTCAAGTGTACAAGCACAGATACACACCCACCCAGCGGCCACTTTCTCCTTTATCTCCAACCTTTTTTCTAGAAGACCTTTTATTGATAAAGACAAAGAGAGTAGAAGAAACAAAGAGAAAATGTGCTGCACTGGAAAATGCCATAATTGCCCACCTCTATTGTGCTGCCTCTCCCTGCTCCTGTACATAAAGTACACTTCGAAGCACTTGATTGATATTGCCAGTTTGAGCTTTTCCATTTTCTCTCGCCTCAGAAACGTCCTTACTTACTTTAAAGAAGTTCTCAAGACACACAGCACACTTAATAGTACACATTGTCAAAATAACTAAACCAAAACGAAAAATCTTAAAATTAAATCTTAAAACTTGACCACTTGGAGATAAATTGGCATTATGTACACACAGGGTGTTTCGGGAGGAAGTGGCAATATTTTAAAGACATGTCGAGAAAGCCAAAATAAGCAAAATAAGCTCATATGTTTAAGTCCGATTTTCATTTGTTTCAGGAATAATTGACTTTTTCTTAAAATGTCAAATCTCATCAATGTTTTGCCTATTACGACGTACGTTGATGTATTGAGCTTATGCACGTAATTCTGAGAGCGAAATCCAGAAAGGAAACTTTTAAAAGAATTATTGCCCTTTTAATAACTTTAAATTTGGCGGCTAATAAATTCTCACCAATAACGTTCTCACTACCGCCAATATTATTTGCAAAATTCCCTAACAGGGTATTTATGTTTTAAGAGTTTTGTGAATTACGCGACCAGAACTTATGTGTAATAAGGTCAAAGTAGGCAACTGAAATGAAAACTGACAGTTACTTGTTAAAGTGACAGTTGTTCAACATTAGTTTTATGAAACTGTAAAAATGCCCCACAAATTTAGTCATAAAGAATATGCCGATATGATATTTGTTTATGGGTTCTGTAATGGTAGTAATGTTCGTGCAGTGGAGGAGTATCGACGTCGTTTTCCGAATCGAAAAGTTCCTAACAAGCGAGTATTTCAAACTGTTTTTACACATGCCGGCGAAACTGGGACATTTCCAAGTGCAAGTATTTTTTATTTTTTTTTATTTTGGTGTCATCGGCGTCGACTACTACGGCCATTAGCCTCGTGTTCTGTGTAGGCTTCGTTACTGTTTCCCAGCGCCACTTTAGGAACAGCACTGTTAATTAGAACCCAACAGTGAATGGTCGAGTGGGGAATCTTACCAAGGCATCAGAATTAATTTTAAATAATTAAATTAAATGAAAAAATCCCGGCCAACGGTGGGATTCGAACCTGAGACCTTCCGATCTCAAAGTCATGACTGTAACCACTGAGCCAACCCACCCCCCAAAAAGTGCAAGTATTGTTTCTGAAAGACGAAAATCCAGAGATAAGTACAAGGCGCATCGCAATCCAATTTGAAATACCACTAACAATGGCTTGGAAAACACTTAAGCAACAAGCAACAAGGTTTGAACGCTTATCATTTGCAAAAAGTACAAAATCTCCACGAAGGCGATTATCCTTTAAGGCTACAATTTTGTCATTGGATTCAGGAAAACAGAAGATTGCGTAAAGACATTTTGTGGTCGGATGAAGCTCAATTTACGCGAGATGGAATTAACAATTGCCACAATAATCATCGATGGTCGGACGAAAATCCCCACGCTACGATAGAACACAATTTCCAACATCGATTTAGCATTAACGTTTGGTGCGGTATTCTAAATGATCAATTATTCGGTCCTTTCGTATTAGATGCGCGCCTTACTGGACAAGGATATTTACGTTTTTTAGAAGACCATTTAGAAGAAATATTGGACGAAGCACCTTTAAATATTCGACAACGAATTATCTTCAAACATGATGGAGCGCCTCCTCACTATTCAAATAATGTACGAAATTTTCTGAATACCACTTACGGCGATCGTTGGATTGGCAGAGGCGGTCCTCATCCTTGGCCACCGAGATCACCGGATCTCACTTCCCTCGATTTTTGCCTTTGGGGATGGATGAAGTCGTTAGTTTATGTTACTAAAGTGGAAACGAGGGAAACGTTACTAGATCGCATTCTTAATGCAGCAGCTATCATTAGAGCGAACAATCGTTCATTGAAACTCGCTACTAGTGCAGCTTATAAACGCGCAAACAAGTGTATCGAAGTGGGCGGTGGTGTTTTCGAAAATTTGTGAAAAAAAAATTCCTTGATTTCATTATCAAAATATTCTTGATAAAAAATTATTCATAACTTGGAAATCCATAATCCAGCATGAAATTTGTAAAATTTCTCATTTGTTTTGGATTATTTGTCTAATAAAGTAAATCGAAATCGAAAAACACATGCAATAATTTTTAATTAATATTGTGCTCTATATTACCTACATATAATATATCTATATCATACTCTTCAATATAAGTTATTTTTTATTTTTCCTGTGTACCAAATATATTTTACAAAATATAATGCTTTATTAAGGATTTCCATCACGAATAATTGTAAATAAACCATTTTTTCATTCATACAAAGCGTTTTATGATTTGTGACACACTGTATATTAAGGTGATTACAGCACCCACTCATAATTTTCGGACAAGGATATCTCAAAATTTAATTTTTTTAAAAAATAAAAATTTTGGAAAAATATATTAGGCAATTATATCTAGAATATGCATATATTTAAGATTTTTAGTTCCTTCCAGTTTCCGTGAAAAAAAATCAATGGGCTTTAAATTTTGAAATATCATAATGAAAATAAATGCATTCCTCGACATCACTACTCTTAATATAATCCCCAAATTTAAGCTCTTAATCTCTTGTTAATGATTTTTTTAAAATTCGCCGAAATTAGTGGCTAAAAAGCCTCGTTAAGTGCCATTTTCTGGTGTAAACTGGTGTAAATCGTTGCAAGAAACGAATGATGACTAGGAATGTACGATACGATAGTTACAGACGCGTTACACCAGAAAGCAGCACTTAACGAGGCTTATTCTAGATATTATTGCCTAATATATTTTTCCAAAATTTTTATTTTTTAAAAAAATTACTTTTTGAGATATCCTTGTCCGAAAATTATGAGTGGGTGCTGTAATCACCTTAAACTGAGGAAGGAAAAATGTAACAGGAAAATAGAATGTAAACCAATATCTTACCCATCAACTTGTTTAGCTAATTCTTCCAATTTCTTCTCAATATTTTCATAAGGCTCTATTTTAAAATTCCCAGCGACTTGTTCGTTCAAATGGTCCAAAACCTCCTTGCCAACCTGTTTACTGTTTATAAACAAAGTAAAACAATTATCGCCAATTATAACATACGAAAAAAATACTGGATTGAATTCAATATCAGAACCTCTAAGATTCAAAAAATACGCTATTTCATCTAGAGCTGTTAACACCAAATATTCTGCGTTTTTTTCCTTCATCGAATCGTTTACTGATTTCAACTTTTGTCCTATAGTTGTTCCAGTGTATTTGACAGCTAATGGTTTTACTGGATTCGTGGGTCTAGCTGGTCTGTCAGTCCATAAGAGGTCTATGAGATTAGTGGCAACTGGTACTAATTGATGACCAGTTGCTTCCAATTTAGTGTGTAACAGTTTGAATTTATCATAGGAATATACTTTCGGGTCTACTCCTATTCTAGAACCTTTCGCCAGGTATTTTGAAAGCCAATCTCCTGCAATGTACAAATATTAACATTTTATTAAATAAAGTATTGATAAAAAGTAACAGTTCACCGATGATTTTATTTGATTTAAATAATAATTATTTACTATTAAGTACTAGATACTTAAATACAAGTCAATAAAACACATGCCAAATTTACAAAATGTATTTTTAAGATATATATTTAATTTATTTATATTAATTGCAAACCCCTTAAAAATTAAATGGCACTGGTTATAGTGTCCGCAGGCATTTCCTTTCTGAACCCAAACAAACACTTTAGATGCAAAGTCTATAAAATATATATGCTCGAAGACTACAAGGAGTATAGAAACTAACCTATTGTGAATGCTGGCTAAGATTTTATATTTGTATCATTATCTTCAAACATAATTCCAATGTTCTAACCATTTTACATGTTCATCAACAAAGATATATAGTTGGTTCTCGTGTATTTCTAATACTTAAGAGCAATCCAGTCCCTTCTGACGTCACATCGCACGGATCTAATGACCTCCCCTTAAAGTATTTGGAACCTTGTTCGCTACATAAATTTGGCAATGTCGTTTATCGTGCGTTGAAGAATAATCATAGGATTGGGTAAGGTCCGATTACAATTACATGAACACAGGTATATATATCATCAATTGGCGAAGTAATTCGTTGGCTATCGCCGCCTACTGGGGGTTTAGTGGCTTGTTAATATTATAGGAATATAGGAATGTAGGAATACTATTTTTAAACCAAACAACTCAAATATTTTTTATTTATTGATAGTTATAGATGATATACAGGGTGTCCCGAAATTAAGACGGTCATATTTTAACAGCGTAATTTACATCCTATAATAGTAGTAAAAGTTCATATAAACATAGGTCCGAAAACGTTTCTTTTCCGAGATACAGGGTGTTAAAGGTGAAGTCCTGATACCACACTTTTGTAAATATTTTCTAAACGTTTAAAGATTATTTGGTACAAATACTTACCTTTTAACGCTCCATTTATTGGACTAAACCCCAGTTTTTGATCATCTTCTTAGGTGGGTAAATGAATCGGTCATTTGTGAAACACATGTCAATTGCAGATCATTTTTTAAAAAATAAGAAAAAGTGAAAATCTAAAAACGTGGTTAAAAAATAGTTCTGTACACTTAACGTTTAAAACTTGCCCTATTTCGGGTATAATACAATAATTATTTAAGCAAAAAACTTAATCAGTAACAAATCATGGTTAATTAAAAATGAGTGACATGTGATGTTTCTGAAATGAACATAAAAACTTAGTAAAAAGGGATATAGTTTTATTATTATATATTCTAAAATTCATCAAAGAAATTTATAAAATAAAAAAATATTCATTGTTTTCATCGTTTTCATTTTCAGTTGCCGGTCAATTTAATATTTCGGTATAAAAGTCATGGTGCATATCGGAAAGTCTTTCTTAAAAAAAATTCAAGTAGAACTTGTACTTAATTTGGTACTCGAATACTTTTTATTAAATAAATCGTACATAATTTTCACGTTAATTGTTTCATTGAGATATTTTTCTGTGCTACTATAGTAATTTTTGTAGGAAAGCTCCTGAAATGTTCCTCAATCTGACAAACTATATTTCCTAGTTGTATTTCCAGAAATACACTTGTCCCTTTTGTCGTAAGGTTGTTTGCCTTTGACGATTAACTTAGTTAAACGTCGAACTCTTGTTAATGTAATTGCGTGAATATTGATAAAAGCCTTCTGGCAATTATATTTCATCCAGAATAGGATATTAAAAGGTATTTAAATAAGTGAGATTTCAGTTTAGGTCATTCCGAATTTCTTGGCCTCTTAACTTTGACGTTATTGCAAGCCATCAAGGCTTGAAAATAGACATTCTGTTCATTTTGGTTGTCAGGTGTCAAAATCTTTAAAGAATCTCTTCTCTGTCTCCCTCAGAACATTGGTTATAACACTTAAAAAACTAACATAGCATGTTTTCACCATGTTTTTTCGCGGAAACGACAACACCTTTGTAATTCTTCATCATTTATTCTAACATTTTTATTATTTCGCACTTACATAACTTTCTGTTCCCTTTTTTATTTATTAAATTAGTCGGAACACTATCAGAATCACTTTCGGCAGTTGATGCCATGATTTTAAATAATTTAGACCAGTACACTGCGTTTAGAAAGAGCACATGTCACTGACTTGTATTGTTTCTAAATGCAATCAGATATTAAGTGATGCAGGAGTCCTACGAATGTATATCAAGCAAGTGATGTTACTGCGTGGATAGATGTGTTTACCTTTAAATATTGTATTTTTGGTATAAAAACAAAATGGCCAAAAAATGTGACATGTGTCGTTTCTCAAATGACCTATTCAAATTAGGGGGAGCTTAGGGTAAAATTGCTCTAAGTTTTTTTTTGTTGATAGTTTTTAACATTTTTGACTATACAATTTGGAAAACCAATATTTTCTGTATAATAAAGCTGCATGTGTTGCATCTCGCTAGGACGCGCCATTTTCAAGAGAAAAACATGTTACCTTATTCGAAAGTGTAAACAATAATTAGTAGGTCTGTAGAATCAGAAATTTTATTTTTTTTTTAACTTTGGGAAACCGGTAACTAAAGAAATTTTAGAAAATATTTACAAAAATGTGCCATCTGGACTTCACTTGTAACAAACACCCTGTATCTCGAAAACGAAACGTTTTCGGACCTATGTTTATATAAACTTTTACTCCTATTTTTAACCGACTTCAAAAAAGGAGGAGGTTATCAATTCGTCGCAACATTTTTTAAATTTTTTTTTTTATGTATGTTCCGCGATAATTCTTTAACACGGTGTCCGATTTCAATGGGTACTTCAGGGGTGGTCCCATATAAATTTACTCAAAATCTAATAATTGGGCCCATGACAAAATCCGCAAACTCTTATTTTTTGATGTATGTTTAGCGATAATGCTTTACCACCTTTTCCGATTTATGTGATTCTTTTTTTGTTAGTAAGGGGTACTTCAGTGGTGGTCTCATATAAATTTGGTTAAGATGTAGTGACGGCAACTGCACGTTTTTGAATTCGGTTTTTTTTAATTTTTAATTTCTAATACTTGTAGGATGTAGATTACGCTGTTAAAATATGACCGTCTAATTTCGGGACACCCTGTGTATTGGAAATTCGAAATAATAGTTATGACGTAGCGGTGTTCTTCTAATTGTAATCGGACCCTAGGTATATGGATACGGAAAGTGATGAATTGGAGATAGGTAAATTGTATTTATTGTATTAAAGGAACAACAAATATAAGTACAATTAAATAAGTATATTAATATTATAACAATTTTTTAATGTCTGTATAAAATTTTTTTTTCACATAGATTATTAAATTAAAAAACTAACTATTAAAAGACGAAATGTTAATTTTTTTCTCTTTTACAACACAAAATATACAATACTGTTGAATCAAAATTTTCTCTTGGCAGCAGGTGGTTTTTGTGACGCGACAATTATGATGCTTTGCATCTCATGAATTAAAGCTAATCCTCTTTCAATCTTAAGGTGATCACACCCCTTATAATTTTTGGACAAAAATATCTCAAAATATTTAAATTTTGGCAAAATAAATTAGTCAATAATATCTAGAATATGCATATATTTTAATGTTTTAATTCCTTCCAGTTTCCGAAAAAAACTCAAATGGCTTTAATTTTGAAATATCATAATGAAAATAAATGCATTCGTCGACAGCACTATTCTTATAATCCCCAAATTTAAGCTCCTAATGTCTTGTTAATGATTTCTTAAAATTCGCTAAAATTAGTGGCTAAAACGCCTATATTACCTAATTTATTTTGCCAAAATTTAAATTTTTTAACAAAATTACTTTTTGAAATATCCTTGTCCGAAAATTATGAAGGCTGTTGCATTCACCTTAATATACCAACATACAGGGTGTTTAAAAATTAATGCGACAACTTTCAGGAGGTGATTGCTCGTATGAAATTAAGATAGGTCATTCCTATAACAAAATTTCCTCTGCCCACCCCTTTCCGAGATAACACCCTTAAGAGGTGGTGACTAAAATTGAGTTTTATTTTTTTTCTAAAATTTCAATAAAGCTAGAAACTTGAAATTCTGTAATTTTCGTGCACTCGCAAAGGACTAACCACGGTTATTTTTTCAATATTCCTGTTACATTATAGGGGGGTGAAATTACCAACCCTTACATTATTTCATATCAAAACTTTTTTTCGAGATGAAGTTTTATGAAATAATTTTGTAATTTGAAATCCTTGTTTTATTTAAAAAAAAAAAATTTAAATTTTTTTCCCAAAACCAATAGCTTCATAGAAAAAAATACTGTTTTCCACTCAATTTATTAAAAAAATGATAAATTAGGGTGTTAATTTTTTTCTCTGAAGCTATTGGTTTTGGGAAAAAAATTCAAGAATAAAAAAAAATTAAATAAAACAAGGATTTCAAGTTATAATTTTATTTCATAAAAGTTCATCTCGAAAAAAAGTTTTGATATGAAATAAAGTAAGTGTTGCTAATTTCACCCCCCTATAATGTAACAGAAATATTGAAAAAATATCCGTGATTAGTCCTTTGCGATTACAGAATTTCAAGTTTCTAGCTTTACTGAAATTTTAGAAAAAAAATAAAAACTCAATTTTAGTCACCACCTTTTAAGGGTGATATCTCAAAAAGGGGTGGGCTGAGGAAATTTTGTTATAGGAAAGACCCATCTTAATTTCATACGAGCAATCACCTCCTAAATTTTGTCGCATGTATTTAGAAATACCCTGTATATTACACATTTTTTTTAAGCGGGCAAAATTCTTGACAATCTCTTTTCCCTAATTGGCACATGTCGTATTTCTCTAGGATTTACTAACTCTGGCAGCAAACAATTAAAATAGAAATTTGTCAGCTGTGGTAGCATTTTTGCCTTCCAGAATTTTTCATTTCATAAATTAACTAGAAACTAAATTAAACAAAAACCTAACAACGCCTCAACAATA